GCGATCGAGAGTCATCCATATTTCATGAGCTGATTTGCACCTTATTATATGATCGAATAAACCAGAGGATATTGTCCTCTTCAACATGAACTCCGCCTTCGCATTAATCTGCTTTCACTTCTTGTACGCACTGCTATTTTCCGGTGCGTCAGCAGGAGGACTTTTGTTACTCCCGTCAACAACATCCCACAAATCCTCTTCCACAAGGTATGATTCCATACATGTTTTTCATACCTTGTAATTAGACTGATTCAACAACTTCATCCCCAGTCCATTGACACGGCCGCTAAAATCCATATCAAGAGCACCCCGAAGTCGTAACATGCGTATTCGACCTCTCGGAGGTCTTATACAAGCCCTTAGTATTTACCACATTAGATATGTAAAATAGTGCGGAATTAAGAACTCTTTAAAACAAAATCCACAAGACTCAAAGGTCATATTTTATAAAGACATCTTTCAAAAGTACACAAGCGGAATACTAAGTCTCTTAGCCATCTTAGACATAAACTTGAAAACATACTAGGGACACGGCCCTTTACAATCAAAAGAAGTCTACTAAGTCTATTACAAGAACCTTATCATAAAACTAGAATAGAAAAGTCTTGTCCTCGACATATGAGGGCATACCACAAAATCTAGGAAGAACTTCAAATCCCAAGGTTACTATAGAACCCGCTCACTTGCCGGAACCTACACTTGTAGAAAATAGAGCAAATATGGAATTAGCACAATTAAGTACTAAGTATGATGACCATGCAAAAACATGCTAAAACAGACATTTATTTGAGATATATGCTTTCATGCCATTTTTTTTTGATAAAACCTTCATATCACAATTATAAGAGACACATTTCACGTCATCATCCACATATAAGACAATATCCACAAAATAGACATACTCAACTAGTACCATGTACAATACATGAACATAAGCGACAAGTAGCCTTTTCATCATTTAATGACCTCTATCTCAAGTTACCCAAAGCCACACTTAAGTGAAACATGAAGTGACCACCCATACAATCTCTTTATATACACATAAGTGTTCCTAAGGGTTACCATAGATAAGGAAAGTGCCATTACAATATAACATACTAAATCAAAATTCTTTAATGAACCACTTTAAGAGACATTTAAGCATTTAGGGGACTTTCACATAATAGCCATTTAGACTTAGGGAACTCACTTTAGCATCTTCTAGGCCTACTCGTGCAATGTGTAGATAGCATCCCATACTACCACCTACACTTTGTAGAACCTATCCAATAACTAGAGTGCACATCCCACATGATGGGAATAGGCATTAACCGACATAGACCATACTAGCTAGGCATGGAATCCTGAGTCTACCCTACTCCGTGAAAGGTGTTCTACTTGCCAAAGGTAGAACTAGTAAGCAACCCATGTAGGCACATGGTTTAGGGGATGTCCAAGGATGTTCATTGTGCCCTAGTCTCATACTCAAGAAGGGACACCATCCTAACCACATCCACTCGGTGCTTAGCCTTAGTTCCCATAGAGTATTTCATGCACATGTGTGCATTAGAGTGGACCCCATTTCTAAGTTCGGCCAACTCATAGTACTTCTACCAAGAAGGGCTCCATTTCTTAGTTCTAGCCGATCAAGGTTCATTAAGGATAGCTCATTGACTTTCTTAGAGAGAGTTTGTTACCATTCCGGTCCACCATCTCTAAGTCTATCATTTCACACAAGAAGAAGATCATTACCCCTAGGGTTCACCACTTCAAGGTTTCACATTCACATTTAGGAGTCTAGACTTACTCATGAAAAGGGTACCATGCTAGGTCTAGCCTATTCAAGATATAGTCTAAAAGTCCTCTTTTATCATAGAAAGGGCACCATGCTTAGGTCTACCGATCCTAGACATTCATTTGTTCAAAGAGCTTTCAAGTAACAAGAAGGGACATCTAAGTCTACCAAGCAAGTCACAACATTACCATATAAGGACTCTTCATAGTCCAACATCGTCACATATGAACATTTAAAGGGAACATACTTTCAATCACACTACAATAACACTTTGTACAAGATCACCTTATAACCATAAGAATACCTTCACATAATACACTTCACATA